AATTCCTTCCTCTCCCACTAGAGCCCAGCAGGAGGCTGATGGGAAAGGCACAACCCAATGGGGGTAGAAACACCATTTCTGATGACTGATTTGTTCTTCGTAGGTGTGTTATTTAGGACAATGCTTCTCAGACTTTAATTTGCCTATAAATGACCTGGACACCATCCTGTTAAAACACAGGTTTTGATTCGATCAGTCTGGGGAGGGATCTGAGATTCTGCATTTCTAACAAGCCCCCAGTGCTGCTACAGCTGTCCAGGCTTTGATTAGGAAGGTCTTTAGGATTTGTTGCATGTATCAGAGCCCCCAAATTAATGGTGGCTTAACCAGGACAGAGGTTTATTTCTCCTTTATATGACCCTGTTTCTTGAAGTCACCAGGGGCCCAGACTTTTATTGTGCTGCTGTGCCACATCGGATTTGCTGCCCTGGTCCGCACAGTCTAAATTTGGCTGCTATGTATGCAATTTAAGCAGCAGGAATGGGGAAGGATGATATGCCCTTCCTTTAAGGTTCTAATCCAGAAATGTCACATTCTACTTCCCTTCCCACTCCCTTGGCTATAATTTAACTAAAATTCTAGCCCCATGGCACAGCCAGTCCCTAGTAAGTCTGGAAAATGTTTTTCATTTTGTTGGGGCAGGGTCTTGCTCTGTCACCCAGGCTGGAGTGCCACAGTGGGATCTTGGTACACTGCAATATCTACCTCTTGGGCTCAAGATATCCTCTTGCCTCAGCCTCCTGAATAGCTGGGACTACAGGTGTGCACCACTGCACCAGCTAATTTTTGTTATTTTTGGTAGAGACAGGTTTTGCCATGTTGGCCAGCTGGTCTCAAATTCCTGGCCTCAAGTGATCCACCTGCCTTGGCCTCCCGAAGTGCTGGGATTACAGGTGTGAGCTACCGCACCTGGTCTGTTTTGTTTTTTAAAAACAATCAGGGTCTTGCTGTGTTGCCTAAGCTGGACTGGAACTCCTGGGCTCAAGTGATCTTCCTGCTTCAGTCTACACAGTTGCTGGGGCTACAGGCATGCACTGCTGCCTGGCTTTAACAGACATTTTGTTGTGTTCCAGGTGTCCAGTGAAAATTCCATTACCAAGGAAGGAATGCATATTAGGGAAGACCAAGTCTCTAGGGATAAAAGTAATAATAGTATTACTGCATACTTACTATCTGCTAGGCACAGTGCCTCAAATGAATCACCTCATTCAATTGTCACACACAATAAAACCCATTTGGTAGGCACTATGACTATTCCCATTTACAGTAAAAAAAACTGAGGCTTAGGTAAGAAGCTTCTGCACAGTCACACAGTTAGGGCCAAGGCAGGATTCAAATCTGGGCACTCTCACTCCAGGGCCTGGAATCTTAGGAGTGAACGAAGAAGACCTCACAGTGACAGATGGGGCTGGGGAAGCTTCTACCATCAGGAGTCCCACAGAAGTGGGAAGGGGGTGGATGAAACTATGGGATAAAACTTTTCAGGATTAACTCTGAGCAAATAATCCCATGAATTTCCACAAGAAAGGTGATGCTTACCTGGGACAGTTTATACATTTTATGTCCAGAGACACAAGGATGAAAAATGGAGATCTGCTATTGGCTAGGTGAGTGAAAGGGCTTATTTCCCTGATTTCAGCTGTGACTGTCATCCCAGGCTAGGCCAGGCCAGGCTTCAGAGGCAGATGGCTCCTGGCCTGCTGCTCTTCTGCCCTCTTGGCTTCAGCCTTCCCTGTGCCCCAGTGGATACCACCTTGAATACCCAGAACCCTTGCTTTAAGGGAGCCACAGCTGGCCAGAATCAGACAGGGCCACTTCTTCGTGTTGTAGTCACAAGTTAGAGGACTTTTGAAAACTGGTTTCCAGGGGCTTGCTCTTTTTTCCCTCTTCTTTTTTTTCATGAAAGGAGCTTTTTGTTAGTACAGTCTTTGTTTGGGGATTCAGTTGATAAAGAGACCATTTTATTGGAATGAATTACTGACGCAAGTGCTGCCAGAAATCCTAGTGAGAGGACACCACTCTGGCTTTTATTCAACAAGGTGAATGGAAATAACTATTGAATGTTGGCCTCAAGGGCACTTTGGAGTTTGCTGCCATCAGCAACTTTGAGAGTTTGGTTATTGGTTGAAGTAGAGACCAGGGGAGACAGAGAAAGTATTACAGATAATAAGAAAGAATATGACTTCTTTCTTTATATTAAAAAATGTCAAACAGTCGGGACTTTGCCGGCCAGGAATTACAGAATGAACTCTTCCTACTATTAAATTACTAAATCTGTACTACTAAGAATGAGGTCCCTGAGACAGTTCCAGCTCAACTTTCTGAACACTTGAAAAAGCCAATCCTCTCTGTCAAGCCAGCTGACTACTGGTGAGAAAAAATAAAACCACCACAAGTAAACCAAGTTCTTCCTGACTTTATGAAGACTCACCCAGATATGGCAGACTTCGTGGAAAGATATGAAAATACTATTAAGCCAAATCTTATACAAACTAACTCTTCTCCGATGTCTGGTCCAAGTGATGTCAACATAAATTCAAGAAGACATACAGATTGACAGTATACTTGGCCCCACAACTCTTTTTCTGTTGTTTTGTTGAGGCTTCAAAACCCAGTAGTCTGTTAAATGAGTCAGCATTTCTCAGGAACTCTCTTTTGAAGTATTCCTGTTTGCAAACAGTGGTATGGAATGTGGCATTTAAATCAACTGACTGTGAACTTTTCAGAGTTCAAGGAAATCATTAAGGGTTAATAGTCAACGGAAATTTGGGTAAGAAGTACCCCTTGATACTGTTTGAAGGCATCTAACACCAACCAGTTCTAAGTGATTGAACCCCAAGTACCGTTTAGGAAACAGGAGCCTATGGGCAGAGCTGCCAGTGGCCAAACTTAGGGACGGTCTCATAGATTGTGGCTCCTATAGAATGGCTCCTCTGAAAAGCAAAGTGAACTGTGGTGTCCTGCCACCCCTGCCCTACAAAAACTATATACATTTGTTTTAAGAAAGGAAGGCAAGGCCGGGCACGGTGGCTCAAGCCTGTAATTCCAGCACTTTGGGAGGCCGAGGCGGGTGGATCACTAGGTCAAGAGATCGAGACCATCCTGATCAACATGGTGAAACTCCGTCTCTACTAAAAATACACAAAATTAGCTGGGCATGGTGGTGCGTGCCTGTAATCCCAGCTACTCAGGAGGCTGAGGCAGGAGAATTGCCTGAACCCAGGAGGCAGAGGTTGCGATGAGCCGAGATCGCGCCATTGCACTCCAGCCTGGCTATTTTTTGAAAAAATCCGCAACAACTTAATAAAGTATAATTGGCAAGTAAGGCAGCCCATTGAGATGTATACCATATTTAAGGTATACATATGTATGGCCTTTTATATATGCCAATTATACTTCAGTAAGTTTTTGCTTTTTATTTAAAAAAAGGGAAGACAAATTTTCTGGTCCTAAAAGCAAAGATCATAAGATCTGGACTCCTTATCTTACAACTAAGATAGGGTGGCATCCTTCTAAAAATGCTGTGCCAATTTCAGGTGGTGGCATTACCAAGCAGGGAGAAGAGTGCCCTTGGTGGCTGGTGGAAGGGGAACGTTCAGGATTGTTTTAAGTACAAAGCTTCCCTGAAGCTCCTCTTTAAGTTCACTCCACTCCTGCCATTATTCATTTACAGATTCTGTACACTTTTTTGTTTGAGACAGGGTCTTGCTCTGCCAGCAGGCTGGAGTGCAATACCATGCCTGGCTAATTTTTAAATTTTTTTGTAGCGATGGGGTCTTGCTATGTTGCCCAGGCTGGTCTCAAACTCCTGGGTTCAGGCCATCCTCCTGGCTCAGCCTCTCCAAGTTCTGGGATTACAGGTGTAAGCCACTGCACCTGGCCTATACCTTCCATAATTGTAATTAAACATTTCTATTATTTACATAATTAATATTTATCTCTCTACTTTGCTATATAAATCTCCATGTAGCCAGAACTTATTCTAACACTGAATGCCTAGTTCCTTGTACTAGATAGGCACCAAGCAGGTACATCATCAATACTAGTGAACATATTAATGAATGCTGCGACAACTGGAAGATGCATAGAATTTCCCTGTACTGAAAATATGCCACTGCTTTTTGATTAAACTTAAACTTAAAAAACATTTAATAAGCTAGTCCCCCACCTCAAGCCTTTGAAGAGGAAAGGGAATGGCCAGGGTGCCAGAGCCAGCATCAATTCCTAATTCAACTACAGGGGCTGCGGCCTTTTCTATTAGTGATAATACTTCTCACAGCATTTGTAGGCTCTACTGCAGGCAAAGCTTCACCTCCACTGGCCACAGGCCAGCACCCCCAGAGTTCAGTTCTGGGGAGGAAAGCAAAGATGAGTCTATCTTTGCCCATTCTCTGCAAAATTCTTCAAGCTGTGCTTAGAAGTGACAAAAGTCCAGTGTTTCATTAAAAGAGTTCAGTTTTGTATTGAGAGGACACTACTTTGTCAGAGTGCCAAACTGTTCTCTTCTCTTGAAAAGAGTCCTGTAAAAGGTCTATGAAACACCTGCCAACTAATACCTAAACAGGTGGCAGGGAATTTTTTGATTTTTCTGAGATTGATTAGACATTGGTAAGTTAGATAAAGAAGGACATCATTATCTAAAAAGCGTATTCTGCCAGCATTTCTCTGGCTATGCCTCCTCCTAGCTGCACACAAACAGACAATACAGCTTGTCACTAAGATAGGGAAAGTTAGTTTCCCTACCCAACGAACCACATTTCCTATTATTTTCCCACCAACACCAGAATAGTGAAAAGAGCAAGAAATTAAATGGTACTTGTGATTCTGTGTTATCTTCCAAATAGTGGTGATACTGGAGGTTGTGTTAATAAGTCATTAACATTTTTATTTTGTTGTAATAAAATTTATTTTTAGAAAACATTTTCTATTTATTGGTAACCCTATATTATTGGTAGAAAAATGTACCATATAATCAGAATTCCAAACTATGTCAAAAAAGCTATTAAGAAATTTGTTATTTTATTGTTACTTATTCTTAAAAAACAAACAAAACCTCTAACAATCCACATATCTCTAATGCATTCCAAGTCTGTAAGAGTATAAAATCTATGACATGAGATGCTCAGAAGCAGCAGTACCAGTCAACTATTGTGAGAAGTGCTTATTTGAGGCTTTAAATTAAAACAGGAAATAAATCAGTATTTTAGTAAATCTAAATTTACAAGTTTGGACTTGATGTGTCTGTCTTTAGTGATCTGAGTTAAAGCAATATTGCACCAATTAAGCAAAGTAAATTAAGACCCCTCAAAAAAGGTGATATAGTAAGAAAATGTCAATTTAATCATTACTTTAGCAGGCAAGCAATTTGTAAACATTCAGTAGCGGCAGCATCCAAGTTACAAACAATTTAAAAAGAACCAAGATTAGTGATTATAATTTTTCCTTCCCTTTCCCCAAAAGAAAAAATAAGAAAACAGATTTGGAAATGAATGACTTAAAACCCTACAAACATTGAACATTCAGTTATGTCTTCTATCAGCCATCTATGCATCTTCTCTTTTATTTTAAAAGATGTGTCTACTCCTAAAATGCATTATCCTGTAAGAACTTGTACGTGAGCACTTGCAATCTAGGAATTTGTTCCTACACACCTCTGTGCACGTATTATCTTAGTTTAAATCCCATTTGCAAAGGGAATATTTATGTCTTGATTCAATGCCTCTTTGACTTCGAGTGGCAGGGTGTCAAAAAGGTGATCTTCCACAACAAGCCCACTTTTCTTGAGCATCCGACACTGGCCCAGCTGGGCTGGCAGGCGGTCCAAGCAGTTCCCCTTCAGCTCCAGCTGAGTGAGCTGAGAGAGCTGACCAACTTTCTCTGGGAGGGAGGTGATGCAGTTTTGTCCCAGATTCAAAGTCCTCAATTTTACGCATTTAAACAATTGTTTTGGCAGAATGTCCACTTTGTTACCAGTGATATGCAAATGCTGCAGGTTCTGAAGCAATCCTATTTCTATTGGAATCAATGAAATGTTGTTATAGCTTACATCTAAGCATCTGAGTTTCTGTAAACTAAATACTGCCACTGGTAAGGATTCGAGCTTGTTGTTAGAGAAATAAAGTGACTCCAAGTTTTTGACATGGGTAATGGAGGGAGGAATAGTAACAATTTTATTATGCCATAATTTTAAACAAGTGAGTCGTTTTAAGTGCTGGAAACTGATGATTTCCTCAATTGTGCGAATGTTATTTGACTTTAAATCCAGTTCCTGTAAATTAGAGAGGCTGAAAATAGCATGTGGAATTCTCTCTAGTTCACAGTTCTGGAGTTCCAGCTCGGCGACATTCATCATTTTCTTAAGGCTGTTCAGTACCAACAGTTTAGTGCCGTCATTATGAATGACTAACTTTGTAAGATGTGGAGCCACATCTGTAATGTTGGAGGGAACTTTGGTCAAATTGCTCTTCACGTGGAGAATCTTAAGGTGTCGCAACTCTCGGAGAGATTCAAGTCCTATCATCTTATTGTTTTCAGAGTTCAAATTGCCTATTAAGTACAACTCTCGAAGGTTTTTGAGCAAATACACCCAGGCAGGAATTTCAGCCACATCGGTGAACTTCACATGAAGGCATCTCAAGTGATCGCGAAGAAAGCTAAAAGCAGTCTGTTCAACTTTTGCAGGGCAGTGGCAGAGGTGGAGCTCTTGGAGGTTAGTCATTTGAGAAATCTTAGCAGGAATTTTAGCTTCTGGAATCAGCTCCAGCTTTAGCACATCTAGGTCTGTGAGGTCAAAGACAGCATCGGGCACCCCCGACAGCATGAACAGATGCAACTCCTGCTTGTCCTGGGCATTGCGTGATATGTGCTGCCTGAGTTTTTCAAATGTCCACTCGTGGTTCAAACTAATTTCCCTAAGTTTATTTTCACTAACTTCTGACAAGAACACACCAAATCGCTTGGAATACAGCTGGTCATATTGGTCTACCATGTGGAGAAGGAACGCAAAATCATTTTTGACATCTGGAATGTCACTAAAACTGCTCTCTTCTCTGACTTTTTCAAAAGAATATTCCTTCAAAGGTATCCTGAATAACCAGAAGAGAGTGTAGAGGCAGATAAAGCCATAAACACAAATAATGGATATATAACTGATGAGAAGCTTTTTCAACATGTAAGCCATATTGTGGGTGCACTCAAATACCTCGTAACCAGTCAGATGCTCAACTTTGGGCTTGCAGACGTGTTCAAAGCTGATTGCGTTGACAAAGTTCGCTGTGTAGCACAGAATAAAAATGAACTTGGCTGTTTTGATAACTGTTTGGACCACATAGAGTTTATAGATCAAGTCACTATCTTCCACATGGGCACGGAACTTCCTCACTTTCTCAAACAGGGCTTTGGCCTGCTCTCCATCCTTTTTATCCAGGATGGTCATGCTGGGTACTTCAATCACAGGCTTCTCAGCTGAAAATTTAAAGCCAGTTTTACTGATCATTGGTGTACTGGCACTGGGGCTCCCTTCATCACTGCTGGTAGACACATGCTTTGGTAGAGTCTGGGCACCTGTTATTCTCTGCTTGTTTTCCTCTGAGTCTTCGCATGCTGTCTCAGACAATGCTTTTGTAGTCCAAGGGGATTCAAAGCACTTTCCTAATATTGAAACGAAATGTTCTACTTTTGAGCATGTTTTGGGATATTTGAACCAAAAGTTGCTACTGACCATGAGAATAATAGTATGTATAAGAGCAAGGTATGGAAAATACTTAGAATACCACGGAAGAGCCAGATGGTAACACATCTGATTAATAAATACATATTGCTGAAAATCCAAGTTTGTTTTTCGGCCTGTCGGATCTTTCTTCTCTTTCTTTGCCTCCTGATTTTGAACTGTGAAATCTGTGCGAGGATATGTGGCTCTGAGAGGTATGTCAGGTGTCACAGCAGATGTCCCAAAGGAAATGTCATTTGTCGCCCATCCATCTTGGTCTTGGTTGGTGGCCGTGTCCATCTTCGGGATGTCGGTGGTGACATCAGCATTTCCTGGTGGTGTATGTGCCTTTGAATTTACAGGAGATGGCAATACTGGCAAACAGACCACCTGATCTTTGGTAAGTTGCATGGTTCCTGCAAAGATGGCTACCATCAACATAACAACAGCCAGGTAATCCATAAACACATCCCACCATGGTTTCAGGATTCGGTAAGTTGGCTGGATGTCATTAAGTGACGCAACTTCTGCAAGGGTAAACATTCCTAGAAAACAAGAAGAGAAAAGACATTATTCTAGAGATGCAAGTGAAAAGAGTAAATGAGAAAAATCCTGTGCCTGCTCCAAACTAAAGTTTTCTTATTCAGGTCCTATCGTTTTATCCAAGATAAGAGTAGCAGAAAATAAACTAAAAGGGGAATATATAGCTTTTGTCTCCTAGTGCAAGGGAAGGGGGAAAAATGAGTAAGAATTACATTCTAGGTAAGAAATGATGACAGACTAAATAAAGCCCATAGTGGTTACTTAGTGGACCTTGAAGGAGGATATGACAGCAGGATGGCATTTGTTGTCGGCTGGACTCATTTAAAGTTAAGACTGAAATTTGGAGGTCGAGGAGTGGGATGACTCTTATTTTGTATAAGCCAAAATTGAAGGGTCTGTGTATACCATTAAATACCATTGAACTCTGGATAGTCTTATGTTCCAGACTCAGTGCTAACATTTACTAATGGTGTGATTCCTTAAGCCTTGTACTTCCCATCTGTATAACAGGGATGAAAACTTCTAAGGGTTGCTGGAAAGGTTAAGTAATGATTGTGAAGCTCTTACCACACCCTCTGGCTACAAGTGTTTGTTAGCTGTTTATGTTAGCTCCATTCACTCTGGGGGAAGTGTCCGTGAACAGCTGAAATTAAGGGTCTAGCGTTTAGGAGGAGTCTTATCCACTTGCGATTTATCAGTATATATAGCTGAAACTCTGGCCTTTGATGCAGTGCTTATGGAAAACATGTGGATTAAAAAGACAGCTCAAGACTCAGCTGGCCATGAAATAATCAATGATGGTGATGCTGAATGTCAGCACCTGGAAGACCTATGTTCTCTGCTAAAGCAAGTGACCTGAGCAGCCATGAAGGAAGCCCCAGCACCAGGAAACTTGAAATGTGGTCATAAAGCTGGCAGCTTTATAGCACTGGAACTAGTTTATACAAATAATAAAGTACCAGAGCAATCATCCTGGAAGTAACCAAGAAAAACTATGTTTATAGTGGCAAGTAATGGGAATGGGCTTCTCTGATTACATACATGAACCAAATGTTTCAAGTTTCAACTTCTTGAAAAACCACATTACCATATTTTGCTTTTTCGGAAGGTTCTTGGGTTTCCAGATTCATATTGCTTGTCTTTTTTAAAGAAATACATCATCTTGTTTCTTTAAAAATGAGCAAAAGACAAAGCAATAAAAACCACGGCAAGTACCCAAGACTTTGAGAATGCATGTATTTTTTAAAATAAAGGATGGAAGGTGGATTTTTATCTATTCATGGTTGTCTGGAATGCTGCGTTGAGGATTCTGAGGCCGATTCTGGTTTCAGTAGGAAACAGTGCTGTGACTGATTACTCGTATCTTCCTTGGATGACACAATGAAGAAAGGTGGCATTAGTACTTTGATTCCGCTCTGTTTTAAATTAAGTTTCTGAAAGCAGGGACCAGGTCTTATTTTCTTTTTTTCTGAAACCCTTCCCCATACCTAGTACTGCACAGAGCAGGTATATAATATTTCTTAATAAAATACAATGAATACTTCAGCAATGATCACATCTAGAGTTAGTTTTGTAAGCAAAATATCTCTTATGTAAGCAGGTAAACACAAGCCTAAGCAGGTAAACACAAGCCTAAGAACTCCAAACATAAAATTGTTAGAAATCACATTCCCAGACTTCAGGGCTTAAGTATGAAATGCCTGGTATCCAGTCACTGTTAAAAAAAAATTACGAAGAAAGTGAAAAAAAGAAAAATAAATATTTGTACCTTAGTAGGGGAAGTGGGAGATAACACACCCACTTAAACCCCTTTTATTCTGAGCTCCTGTATTTTGTGTGGGTTTTGCTTTCGTGAATGGCTTGGGTAAACAGGAAGAAAGGCTACTGGAATCACAGCAAGCTAAACTAAATGAGAAACAGCTCAACCTCATGTCATTTTGAGCTCTTCAGTTCCTATCTAGAATGCACAAAACACAGCATCAAGCTGCAGGTTATACAGAGTGACTGTTTTTTTTTTTGTTTTTTTTTTGAGACAGAGTTTCGCAAGAGCCCAGGCTGGAGTGAAATGGCGCGATCCCGGCTCATTGCAACGTCCGACTCCTGGGTTCAAGCAATTCTCTTACCTCAGGCTCTCAAGTAGCTGGGATTACAGGTGTGCACCACCATGCCCGGCTAATTTTGTATTTTTAGAAAAGACGGGGTTTCACCATGTTGGTCAGGCTGGTCTCGAACTCCTGATCTCAACTGATTCAACCGCCTCAGCCTCCCAAAGTGCTGGGATTACAGGCGTGAGCCATTGCATCCAGCCCAGAGTGACTCTTAGTTCTCGTACAGAGACTAGAGAATACACCTTGCACAGGTTTATCCCTGGCAAAGATCATAACAGTCATACCTGGGGACCATGTTTTAAAGGGCCATTTGTGTAATAGAAACAATAGATTTCTTTCAAATAGGATTTTTCTTTACTTTTTAAATAAAGTCATGAACTGCATAATGGTATTTTGGTCAACAATGTACTGCATATATGATGGTGTTGCCATAAGATTATAATGGTCAGGGACAGGGGCTCATGCCTGTAATCCCAGCACTTTGGGAAGCCGAGGGCCAGGTGGATCATTTGAGACTAAGAGTATGAGACCAACCTGGCCAATATGGTGAAACCCCATCTCTACTAAAAATACAAAAATTAGCCGGACATAGCGGTGCATGCTTGTAATCCCAGCTACTTAGGAGGCTGAGGCAGAAGAACTGCTTGAACCTGGGAGGCAGAGGTTGCAGTGAGCCAAGATTGCGCCACTGCACTCCAGCCTGGATGACAGAGTGAGACTCCATCTTATAATGAACTGCACAGAAATGTGACATACAACACTAAACATTGGCATTCTAGGTCAAGTAGGGCAATGGTCCCCAACCTTACTGGCACCGCAGACCAATTTTGTAGAAGACAATTTTTCCACAAACAGGGGTTGTGGGGAGAGATGGTTTTGGGATGGAACTGTTTCATCTTGGATCATCAGGCATTAGATTCTTATAAGAAACACACAATCTAGATATCTCACATGCACAGTTCACAATAGCTTCACGTGACTATGAGACTCTAATGCTGCTGCTGAGCTGACACAAGGCGGAGCTTAGGCGGTAACGCTTACTCGCTCGTGGCTCACCTACTGCCGTGTGGTCTAGTTCCTAACAGGCCTCGATGGGTACCAGTCTGCAGCCTGGGGACTGAGGACTCCTGAAGTAGGGGAAAGGACTGATATTCAGTAACGGTGTTGGAAATTTGGTTTTCCATATGAATACATACATACATATACACACACACCATCTAGCTCTGTGTAAGTACACCCTGATAGTCACAGAACAATGAAATTGCCTAACACCACATTTCTCAGAAGGTATCCCCTTTAAGTGACATGTGACTGTAGTTGCACCTGGTTCTAGAGAAGCCAGAATGTTTGGGTTGAAGGACTGAGAGAGAAGTGAATTTTCACAGCCTGTGTACTGAGAACACTGGTTATCCGTCTTTTACATCATGATGATTACGACTGGTGTTCCTGCTGCCAGGCTTTACCTCCTTCAATCCATTTTCCATCTTGCCTTAGGTCCCTTGGTAAAAACTCTCTAGGGTCCCTCTGCTCTAGTCTTGTTAGAGAAACTTCTGCCAGCTTCTCCAACAAGCCATTCTCTCCCTTGTGTTCAGCCTCTCCAACGCTTTGTTTCCTCTGCCTTGACTACTTCCTCCCTACTCCTTTTCACTAGGCTATCAGGTTTCTGCAGCCTTTTCCAGAAAGCCTTCCCTGATCCCTTAGTCTGGGTGAGGTGCTTCTTGGATGTGTTCTCACAGGAATCTGTACCTCCGCCCATCACAGCCCTTATGACATTGTATTTACTTGTCTGATCTCCCACTGGATTACCAGTTCAATGAAGACATGCACTATGTCCAAATTCCTTCTTTGTCCTATGTATCCAATGCCTGACACATAGTAGCAGGTGCTCAATCAATGAAATAATTTTGAGATCTTGATCATTATCTTCAGCATCCTAAAAATTCCTTGAGAACATTTATTAACATCTACAGATGGTAACGGGCAGAGGAGCATTTTATTACACTGAATTGCCACCACAAAGCAACCTGGGTCTATGCAAGAATGAACACTACAAGCCAGGTCTCAGCATAAACATAGTTAAAAAGACCATACAGCAGAGACACTGTTGGATCCTTGCAACCAGTGTTACTTTGCAGCTGTTGAAATGTCAATGGTAGTTTTCAAGCACCCTGTACTCAGGACAGGCTTTGATCCCAGGAAATAGAAGAGGCTGTCCACCTTCCCAGTGGGAGAAGAAAAGTTCAAAGGCAGTGGCAGTGGGCACAGCAACAGAGTACAGAGTACTGTAACTTCACACACAGTCACCAGCTCGAGCCCCAGACTCCCTGCAAGAATGATTAACACTCAATAACAGCACACGACCACTCCAACCTCAGATGAGCTCCTCTCCTCCAGCCCATTGTCTACTCTGCCACCCCCCACCATAAGTTTTGTGCCCTCACTGTTTTCTCCAGCTCATTTCTCTTTTTTCTTTTCTTTCTTTTTTTTTTTTTTTGAGACGGAGTTTCGCTCTTGTTACCCAGGCTAGAGTGCAATGGCGTGATCTCGGCTCACTACAACCTCCGCCTCCTGGGTTCAGGCAATTCTCCTGCCTCAGCCTCCTCAGTAGCTGGGATTACAGGCACGCGCTACCATGCCCAGCTAATTTTTTGTATTTTTAGTAGAGACGGGGTTTCACCATGTTGACCAGGATGGTCTCGATCTCTTGACCTCGTGATCCACCCGTCTCGGCCTCCCAAAGTGCTGGGATTACAGGTTTGAGACACCGCGCCCGGCCCTCATTTCTCTTTTTTCTATTGAACTTTTCCTTATTAAGTCCCAGCTCAAGTACTACCTTTTCCTTCAAATTGCTATCATATTGTCTAATAACAATCTGTATCTAGGCTGGGCATAGT